AGAATTACATGTTTGTGGGCGGGGTCAAGTTGTTTGCTGCCTGCCAACTTGGAACATAGGTGCCCATTATGCAAATGTGTTACCCCGTGACGTGTAGCCGTCACGGAAGTGGGATTCGAATTACTAACGACTCGTTTCAGCTGTTCAGAGTTGATTCTTTATTTTGGGAGACAATAACTTTATTTATCATGCACGTTCAGCTTCAGATCGGGTTGTTGATGTTTGTCTGCCATTCTTGCTCTGTCTGCATAGTGTGACGTATCCTGTCTGTGCGAACAGGGTGCGCAGAGTTATGCTAATACATAACTTGACAGGCAGGTAGGAAAGCCAATTAAAACGCTCGGACTGAGCGTTTTGATTGGATGAAAATGTATTGGTCCTATGCCGTCCACAGAATATATAAATACAGATAAATACATTTAGACCACTTAACTTAATGATTGCTATCGGGATGTGATGAGACTTTCAACCAGCAAAACAAAAAACATTTCTGAAGACAATCACCTATTGCACATTTAATGTGGCGCACGCAGTGCAGATCAATCAAAATGTGACTTTAAGCAGTGCATGCTGCTTAGAAATTTTGTCTGACTTGAGACAGTGCCGACGCCACGTCACTGTGACATATAGCATCAAAGTACCATGAGATCATTTAGAGAGCTATTTCAGAGCGATTGCAGGAGTGCTGATGATGACACAGCTGTTTCACGATTGGCCAAATTCACCACAAGACAATGTTGACGTGTTTTGGGTTTAATTCCAAATTCTTCAATTCCAATAATGCTCACAAATCTGTGTTTTTAGAACAGTAAAAGCTTTTTTTACTATAGTCACAATGTTATATTGAGCCATGTTTATTAAAAAAAACCATATATACCCCCACATTGGTATTTAAATAGAATATGTTTATGTTGAACTTGATTCTTGAACAGATGGCGCTGTATTAAGCAGTATATAAAAAGTGTTTCTGTTGCTCATGAAAACATTTCTGGAACGTCTCTGTATTTGACAAATATTGCATTCACTTCATCTGTGATAGAGTATGCAAACCCTGTGAGAGCATCACTACCGAAGGCAGAAAATGTCTGACTTGATGTCTCCGCTTTCAATTCTGCACCCGACTGCAAGCGGCTACTCTCACCGATCGGTCTGTGCAGAGCTGCATGAAGTCGAACACACCTAGTGTGTTCAAGATCTGCTGATCCTTTGTTCTGACGTAACATCACATGAAAACTAAGGTGAACTACAATGTACTGGGCATTCAATGTGAACATGACATCAAATTACTGATTCATTTCAATATAGTTTTCAGTGTGGGGGCTTCTACAAGTCTCTACAAGTGTGCTTCGTTGTGAAAGCGAAACTACTTTGTTTGGCCTTCCAAAAGAGGACGATATCTGCTTTGTCATGCCTGGAGCTGATCCGTGCTGGTTGCTGAGGAAATACAACAACTTTGCGCTGTGGATCGGCTTTCACCATGGACGAAGCGGAGTCCAGCCCGGGGTCGTCACATGTGGTTGCCGCAAGCCCTCCAGGTGCTCTTTCGTCAAATCCGCTGGCCGCGCCGTTCTCAAGCCTGCCGCCTCTGCTCACTCTAGCCCTCCAGCCTTTGCTCACTCTAGGCCGCCGCCGCTCACTCTAGGCCACCGTGTGTGATGCTGTGTTTTGTTGTGAAAGCGAAACTACTTTGTTTGGCCTTCCAAAAGAGGACGATATCTGCTTTGTCATGCCTGGAGCTGATCCGTGCTGGTTGCTGAGGAAATACAACAACTTTGCGCTGTGGATCGGCTTTCACCATGGACGAAGCGGAGTCCAGCCCGGGGTCGTCACATGTGGTTGCCGCAAGCCCTCCAGGTGCTCTTTCGTCAAATCCGCTGGCCGCGCCGTTCTCAAGCCTGCCGCCTCTGCTCACTCTAGCCCTCCAGCCTTTGCTCACTCTAGGCCGCCGCCGCTCACTCTAGGCCACCGTGTGTGATGCTGTGTTTTGTTGTGAAAGCGAAACTACTTTGTTTGGCCTTCCAAAAATGGACACGACTAGAAATCAGTGGTTAAGTTGTATTTACAACACTGTTCCAGAACACTTCAACCCAATTATTCAGATGTGTGCAGCACATTTTATGGAGGACCGTTTCCTGATCCTGGTAGAGTAGACTACAATGCCGGCTGTTCTGACTCACAGACTATAAGTACGTTTTTATATTTAAAGAGTTTTTATATTTTATATTTTTTATATTTAAAGCGAGTTTTTTGGGCAGTGTAGAGTAGGGCTTGTTGTTTGTCATTTCTCCAATCACAAATGCAGACATGGTTTTATGTTTACGCGGCGCGATGCAACGCAACGCATAAAAAGAGAGTATAAGTCATTATAATCCATAATTATGTCCCCACTGGATGCAACGAATGCCTTGTTTATAATGGGTTTTCATGTTTTTGAAACATCGCTTTGGCCTGACAGGGCATCATCACAGTATGTCACACGCTTGAGGTATTCAGCAAATCATAACGCACTGGATAGCTGGCCAATCACAGCACACCTTGCTTTTCAGACCGATGAGCTTTGTAAAAATCAACGCGTTTCAGACAGGCGGGGCATAGAGGAGAAACAATAATGTACAATATGTGGAAAATAATGTGTTTTTTTTACTTTAAACCGCATAACCACATTTCATTACGACAAATACACAAAACAATGTTCTTTTTAGCAACATCATATGACCCCTTTAAGTTTATTAAGCATCATGCTAAATATTAATGTATTTTTATTATAATTTAACACACCTGTGAGGTGGATGGATTATCTCGGCAAAGGAGAAGTGCTCACTAACACAGATTTAGACAGATTTGTGAACAATATTTTAGAGAAATAGGCCTTTTGTGTACATAGAAAAAGTCTTAGATCTTTGAGTTCAGCTCATGAAAAATGGGGGCAAAAACAAAATTGTTGCGTTTATAATTTTGTTCAGTGTATATGTCTCTTGTTCACGTGACCAAATGCTGCTCAAAACATTTGGTACTAATGCTATCTATATGGTTTAGGCATGCTAGTGCACACAAGGCTGTAGGCCATTTGATGTAAATTGGGTCTTTTTGATCTCACAGCTGTGGGTACATTTTCTCATTTTCAGCACTATGTGTAAGGCTAATATGGATAAGGACTGCCCAATTAATTGCCCTGTCTACACATAATAATAAGATGTGTATTATTCGATAGTATCATAGGTAGTCGAGGGAGAGATGCTCTCGTTTACACCTGGTGTTTTAATTAGTCTCTTTTGTCCACTTTTGACTACTTTCTTTATTTCTTTGAGGGGAGGGTCTATGGGTGGGTTTATGGGGCTTTTTCTGATCTTTCAATCTAATATTGCTAAATAAGCTTGCGCTATTTAGTAATGTGTTTTTATAATAACCATCACTTTGGATAAAAGTGTGAAAGCGATTCATGATCAGTCTTGATCATTAGTCTAAAAATCACACTGAATAATTATCTGCTGCTAATTTTTGCTGAACATATCCTGAATATCTCATGATAATAACATGATATTGGTTCTAGTTTGGTTTGGTTCTGGTTTTCATGATATTGGTTTTAGTTTAACATCTTTCTGAGACTCTTACATAGAGTAATGGGAAAATAGTGATTTTTTTTTTGAGGTTTCCTTACAAAGTTTTTGCATCAAAAATACCAAAATAAGAAAATCTCTTTTTTTCCCTACTCTAAATTCTGAAGTGAATGTAGATGTCTATGTAAGCATTTTAGTATTTGTTAGTCTAGGTAAGACTTTTATTTGAGTACAATTGAGATATTATTTAATATTTAATTAACATACAAATATTTAATATAATGTTATATATTTCAGTTAAGTTAATGGCGCTCTCTCCTCTTGAACGGCTGATCTAAATCAGGTGTGTTAAATAAGGAATGAAAAGAAGACGACGATGATGATGAATGTGAATAGCGGGGCGACTAGAGGTTGTGGAAAGATAAGGCATTCTAGCTGGGAAAGGGAAAATATGTCTTCTGGAATTACATTTTGGAGACCTATCAGAATGCTGAGATTGTCACACACAGGAGACACCACAACAGGAAGGCTGTGGATAAGTCTCTGAAGGTGACTGCTGAGACTCTGGAGAGCAAGAGAACTACTTGTCAGTGGAAATAGTTAGATCTTTAAAGAATCAAACATTTCATGGACAAATACCAGAAGGTTGGCACAGTGACGTAATGAGTGGAAGATCAGATGGGCAAGCTCCTCTTTAAAATTTGTTTATGAGCTTCATTTCATCGAGTCAGATGTTGATTTATTAACTGCACTGACAAAGTTTATTCAGTCAAGGATTTATTAGATTGACCTGGTTCATAAGAATCATTTGTTTATGAATCTGACTGCACTGGTTATGCCGTACATTTTTAATTCACTAAAAAAAGAAACAACTCAGTAGAGTCATTTATTCATGAATTGGACTACGGTGGTAAAGTTGTTTGTCTGTTTTTGTGTGCAGCTTGTGAGGACAAAAAAGTAGAAATACTTTTTTTTTTTTTCTTAATTTTGTTGCTAGCTTACTATCAGTTGGTATATGTATGTTCAAACATCTAATCTTCTCTGGGCATCAATCATGCTCTGATTCAAGCAAGAGCAATTCATTTTAAATACATTTTAACTAGATTTTAGGTAGGTTTCAACAAGATTTTAACGAAGATGCTTCATAAATGTCATATCAGGGTAAGTTTTCCCCCCTGTATTTCTAGCAGCGGAAATGTTCATTAGAATTTTTAAATAATTTTTTTGTTAATAAGTCTATAATAAACCCACCATAAGAAATACTTACTGGAGTAAAAAGCAATAGCCCAGGTCTTCCTAAAGAAGTTTGAGTGAGCAATAAAATGTTTTGTTGTACACTATTGCAACATGTGGCTTAAGACTGCTTTGACAGTAACATCACAACCCTTCATATGGTATAACACAATCAAATTCATTGTACCTCAGAATCCAGCAACTACTTACCCTACAAACAAAGCATTGTGGATGCCACAGAGCACTTAGAGCTGAGATGTAATTCTCCATGATGGGCTGGGAACAACCCTGACAACGAGAGGCAAAGAGAGCCAGAAAACACTTCTGGCAGTACTGCTTGCCTTCACGGTCATGAAAACCTGAGGAGAAGAAGCATACAGTTATTTGTCATCTTTGAGACCTACAAGCATTTGGCATTATCAAAAACTTGGCATTATCATTACTTGTATAATAAATAGCTTGTACTAATTTATGAGGCAATGAAGATGAGGCAATAATGCAACACACTTTCCTGAACTGTCCTATATAATGAAGCACTGGAGTAAGTCCAAGTAAATCAGTTTGTTCAGAAAGTACATTAAATGGTTAAAAAATTAGCTAAATGTCTATTCACACAGTTAACCAATTTCAGCAAAAAAATGTCTATAGCCCTATTCGGATGGTAATTGTTTCTCAAGTAGACATAAGTAAAAATAAATTTACATGGCACCTCAGTGATAAAACTCATGGATTCAGATGGTGATTTATTCACAGTGGAGAAGCAAGTTCTGTGATCCTACGAACCCGGGAATGCGCTGCTCATGTGGCCAGTTGCATGATTTTCTGCTGTAAATAAAATGTTATATGCTTTGTATAATATGAATAAATTCATATTCAATAAAATCCTATTTATTATTGGATTATTTAAAGGGGTCATGCTTTTTTATTTTTTTTCCAAGTTTTTATTTTTTTTTAAAAGGTTTAATTATAATATTACTAAAGTTTTTTGGAAAATGTAGTGATTTATGAACTTTTTCCACCGTTTCTCATCCTCTGACTGAAACAGTCGGTTTTGGGGTGTTTTCCCTTTAAGAGGTCAGTGTAACCACCCACTTTTATGATTGGCTAAAATCCATTACCGTCATTACTGCCATTATCGTTTTAAAAATATTTTTTATATGAAATACGTTACTTACAGTTTGCTGTTGTTGGGTCCAGAACAGTTGGCATGGACTGATCTTTTAGCAAAAGTATTTTGGCAAAGCCAGCATCATACTGCGATTTGTTCTCAAAACAGTTAATGGTGAAATGTACTGAACACGTGTAAATTAGCACTGATGTGACTGGGACGTTTGCTAAAAATAAACTGAATCCATTTTTCTCTGACGTCAAGATCCTTCGGCAGCGTATACAAACATGTTGTTTTTCCATAGCCAGGAACGGCACATCGTCTACCTGGCATCGCAATCTTATTGTAAACAACTACTCCTTCAGATTATTACACAAATGCTTTTTTATTGTTGATGAGGACATTTACGTTTTGAAACTTGCACGGTGTATTAAGCATACAAAGACCTCTTCTATGTCAAAAGATCAAGGGAAATTAAGTTGATCATGTCATGACCCCCTTTAAATCACCTGTTTAAAATAGGAAAATAGAGGTGCTATAGTTGAAATGTTTTTCTGTCTTGCATTTTATCTCTCAAAATTATGAATGTCATTAAAAATGTGGAGATTAGCAGAAATAAGGTAAACAAAAATGGTTTAAATTTTTATGTATGTAATTGTAGGCCTATATAATACATATTTAAAAAATTAAAACATTTTAAATTAAAAATTAACTGTATTGCATACCTGCTTCTGCCATAATAATGACCCATTTCAAATGTTAAAATGCTTTTCTTCTCTTTCTTCCTTTTGTTCATAACAGCTCCCACTCGCTGTGGTGGAGCAGTTATGAAATATTGTCCTTGTAAATGCCTCTCAGCATTTTAGTACTTTTAACATGCATGTAAATTACAGTGAAGTGCAACAGTTACCGTATGGTGTTTGGCAGTTGCCAAAACAGATATAAACATTGAATTTTGAATGGATTTCTTCTTGTAAACTCAGAGATGTTGACTCAGACAGCAATTAAATTAACACATGACTCTGGTGTTTGTCAAAAAACAGTAGGTAATTTGGCGTGGAATTTTACACAGGTGGTGGGAGAAAAACACAGGCATTCTGGATTCGGACAGCAATAAAAACACCCGACTAACCCCTGTAAATGTTGAAAATCATTTAAGTCTCCATGAGAAACAATTAGCGTCCAAATTGGGCTAAAGAGATTTAATTTTTTGCCATCTGATTTGAGCCCCTTTCCAAAAATTCTAAATCCAACGTGTACCTGACGTCTGTTCTTCTGAACTACACTACCATTCTTTTTTTTAACAAGAAAAAGTCAAATGAGTGAACAAGTTTAGAAAATGTGCTGCTGTGGGATCATTATATCACTCCTAACGTCACACACAATCTCTGCGTCATTTGTTAAGGAGCAGAGCACCCTTGGTCAGCCCTTGAGGGAGCACTGTGACAGTTTCACAGTGAAAATGGTCCTCTCCCACCAGGCTCTCTTTAAGGGGGATGGGAGCCAGGCGAATACACCCCGTAGCTCAGGACCCTCTTCTAAAGTCATTGGAATCACAGGTGGATCTGGCTGAGGACCTTGGGACAGGTCCTTCACTTTGCCAATCCTCTCTCGCCAGTTCCAAGCCTGCTTGCCAGTTTCTTCTGGTCGATGGAGAGCATGTTGCTTGCCCGCTCTAGTCCTGAGGAACTAGATGTGACTGGAGTTGAGATGGACATTGTGAGTGAGGCTTCCTCCTTCCCAGCCCCTGCATATCAGGAGATATCCTGAACGTTATGGCCTACACCATCGCCAGACTGAGTCTGTATTGGTCAGTGGAGAAACAGGAGAGACAGATGACCATTTCCTGGCAAGTCACAGGCCTCCCGTGAGCCTTCCATTTCTCACAGAGCACCACAAAGTAGTGTTGAAATCCTGAGAGAAACCATTTTCTGCTCATGTTTTCCACCCCTTAGATCCAATTGTTCTAATGTAAAGAGGTTGGAGGGACACAGGTACACGAGGATGCCCCGGATGGAGGAATCATTAGCAGGTTACCTTTCATCTGGCATGGTGTCCTCTTTGAAAGCTCCCGCTTTGCCCTCTAAGCCCTGCCAGTTTACATCAAAACTAGTGGGCAAACCATATGTGGCGGCGGGCCAGTCTAGTGGTGCCTTGCACACCATGGCAGTGCTGCAGGCATAACCAAGCCGATTTACTGAAGGACGCTGACTGCAGTGGAGGTGTAGATCCAGATGCAGTACTGCAGCTCCAATGTACAACTGATCTTGCCCTCTGAGCTACCAAGCAAACAGCCCGTGCCATCGGTTTAGGGAGGTGAAAGTTAAGTCAGCAGTTTTTGAGCGCTACATCCCCCACCATGGCCAGCATCCTTCAGCCCCCCTTCTGATCCTATTGCTGGCCGCCAGTTGTTGGCAGGATCAGAAGGCAAGTGTTGCCGCTTGAGCCCCCCTACAAGGCGTCAACCTCATGGGAAACCAAGAAGGGATCTCTGAAAGGTCATTACGGCCAAAAAACATCATAAGGTGCTGAGATCCCTTCTTCTTTGTTTTTTTTCCTTTAGGACGAGTGATATTTGTGTCCTCTTTGCAGGGAGTGATTCAGGGGCAGCTGCATCCACAAGAAGGATGCAATACTGCTGTGATGGTAAAGGAGTATTTCTCCCTTTGAAGAATATACTGTTATAGGGGATGCAGAGATGAAAGCAATATGCTCCTTCAGTACTTGCATATGTGTTATTATGTGCACGAAAGAAGAAAGTGGGGAGTACTGTTTTTATTTTTATTCTTTTTTTTTGTGACTGGGCATGTTTATGCTTAAACCCGAGTAATAATACATAACACACAAAAAAAACATTTTGGTCAAAGGGTTGTTCAGGACAATATGGTTCTAAATAGAACTGTGTAAAAAGAACCATCTTTTTTTAGAGATTTTTAGAAAATGTCAACATTATCACCACAATATTCAATATATTCATATCTAAACAGCGGATGAACTTATCAATGAGGTCAATGATGTTACCTATGCTAGAGAACTTGCTAGCAAGGAAAGGGGTGTGGAACCACCTTGTGAAACAACCCACCAGAAACAACCATGAGTAGACAACTAAATAGAGATGCCAGCTGGGCAGTTGCCTGGACAAACAAGCACACTGTCATAGGTCTATGGGAACCCTGGGTCCTATTTAAAAAAATCGGCTACAGGGAAGGAACAAAGATGTGGTAAGGCTAATCACTGCCAAACATCTGGCGTCAATTGGCACATGGAACTCAAGGATACTTTAGAAAAATGGAAGCCTTGAATTACTTGTCAACCAACTTATCAAGTGTTACAGATGGGACGTTAGTGGTCTGTCTGAGGTATGTAGAACCAAACAAGGCACAAGGCTTTATTGGTCAGGATTATAGCATCACTATTATCCAAGCATATGCACCAACTACTACCCATAGCGACAACGCTGTGGATGACTTGGTGCTGCTGAGTGGTTTGCGGTGCTTGCTAAGTGGTTTGTGATTGTAGCTCTGTGTAGCTTAATTTTTCTGTTGAATCTCTTTCTTACTATCACTCTCTGTTGTTTAAAGAGATAAAATATAACTTAATTCCCACCATATTTCTGATATGATCTATCAAACTAATCTGATTAATTTGATAGTTTGCTATTATTCTAAAACCGCGAGTGCAGCGCGTTAGCATTCGTTAGCCGGTTAGCTTGTCATTCGCGTTTCTATTCGTGTCTATTTCTGTTTTATTTTTTTTCTCTCGCTCCGTTTTTTTCACGAGTTCATCAAACAACAGTGGTAAGTCAGAATCATTCATCAATCACGGAGAGTAATGTCTTCTTCTCCTGCTATTGTTGTTTGCACCACTTGCCACATGTATAGTTTAGCTCTCTCTGTCTGCAACGAGGGATTCACATGTGATAAATGCAAGGAAATAGTTGGGCTGACAGAGAAGATTTCAGGATTAGAGACGCACATCGAAACTTTAATTGAGGATAGTAAGAATGTGAGGGTTGTACATACGGCTTTGGATGTGACTAGCTCAGGGAGTCCTGTACATTGTTCGGTTCCGGTTACAATGCCTCTGCAGCAGGGCGACTGGGTGACTGTGAGGCAGCGTAGTCGTGGGTCAAAACACCGCTCTTCACTTCCGATCAAAACATCAAACAGGTTCTCCCCACTCAGTGACGCACCCACTGAGAAACCTGATGAATGTGCTCTAGTTATCGGCGATTCTATTGTACGGAATGTG